ACGTAAAAAATGCAAGTAGAAAAATAGGAACCACCTTTGGTGGGAAGGGAACAGGGTTCTGTCCGCCATTGGCGTTGAGTCATGCCAGCCACATGACCACGGAGACGTCTTCAGACAGCACTGGCTCTTCGGCTTTGAAACAGAGATGAGCACCGCCCCCTAGAGTCAGGAACGACTAGCACAGATGTGCAAGGGGAACCTTTACCTTTTACCTTTAATGTATTCAAGAGAGTTCCGTCTCTTTCAGGCATAGTTTTCCTTTGACTGCGAAAATTTACCCTTGTTGTTCCAGTCTGTGCCTTCCTCCATTTGTCTGAAAACTTGGAACTCACTTATCAACAATAGCAACAAAAAAAGGTCAGAATCAGAGCAGAGTTGGGAGGGACCTCAGAGGTCTTCTAGTCCAACCCTCTGCTCAAGCAGGAGACCCATACCGAATCCTAGAATCACAGAGTTGGAAGGGACCTTGGAGATCTTCTAGTCTAATCCCTTGCTTAGGCAGGAAACCTTACACCAGTTCAGACAAATGGCTATCCAACATCTTCTTAAAAACCTCTACTGTTGAAGCATTCACAACGTCTGGAGGCAACCTCTGTTCCACTGATTAATTGTCCTGACTGTTAGGAACTTTCTCCTTAACTCCAGGTTGCATCTCTCCTTGATGAGTTTCCATCCTTTGGTTCTTGTCTTGCTCTCTGGTGCGTTGGATTAATTTGGATTAAAGTTAATCTCTTTCCTCCTCCCTTCCCTGATTTCATTTCCACCCTCCCTTTACAGATGTTGAACCTATTTGTGGCTGTCATCATGGACAACTTTGAGTACCTGACCCGAGATTCATCCATCCTCGGACCTCATCATCTGGACGAGTTCATTCGTGTGTGGGCAGAGTACGACCCAGCTGCTTGGTATGTATGTCACCCACTTCTGGTTTCGTGAAGGTGGCATTGGATTGGCTGAGCTGCTTCTCATATTGGGGGAAGATCAGCCAAGGGAAAAAAGAGATTAGCTGCCTGTCCTTAAAGACAGCTGCATTGGGTTTCCTCACCTGGCTTCAAGCTAATATATGGGAGGCATGAATATTTTCTGTGCAATGTTGTCCAGAATAATGCTGGTTTGGGAGAAAGAAATAATCAAAAGTTTCAGACATCACCTAAGTTCAAGACCCATCAATATTTTGGGTGATGAAGATTTGGAAGCTGGACCAGTATCCCTATTTCCAATCATACAACACTCTGTTTTCTCCCAGTGTGCATGCATTCCAGAGAGTCATAGTCTGAACTCAAAAGGACAATGATGTTTACACCACCATGGCAAAAAAGAAAACGTAGGGAAAACAACAGTCAGTGAAATGAATGAGGTCCACAAAAGTTGGCTTAGTTTTCGTGTCTTCTGTTCTACTTATTGGTTGGCGCATGTGCGGGAAACAGATTGCAGGTAGTCCTCGAGTTACGACAGCTCACATAGTGAGCGTTCAAAGTTACCACGCCACTGGAAGAAAAGTGACTTATGAAAGTTTGCCACCTTTGTAGCATTCCCTGCGATCAAACTTGGGTAATGCTTCATACTTACGACCGTTGCTGCGTTCCAAAGTCACGTGAGTCCCCTTTTGCGACCTTCTGATGAGCCAAGCCCATTGGGGAAGCCGGATTCACTTAACTGATGGGTCGCTAATTTATCAACTGCACTGATTCACTTAGCAACAGTGGCAGGAAAGGTCGTAAAATGGGGCAAAACTCCCTTTGCAAATGTCTCACATAGCAACATAAATTCTGGGCTCAATTGTGGTCAGACTTAGTTATTAGTTTTTAAGAAGAGACTGTTTTGACCCAGCCTTAGTAGAAACAAGAAAAAAACCCTCTTTATTTAACTCCTGTAAATTAATGGCATTCACACACCGAAAAATCCAGGCAATAGTCTTTCAAAGAGTTAACTGCAGTAACAAACCTTATCAGTTCCTTGCGATAATTGCAAAGCCGTGAGCTCCCAGCCCGCAAAGCTGCAAATTAAGTTCTGGCAAGCAGCCTTTGATGCACAAAACACCATGAGCAAAATCTTCAGAAACACGAACTGTTGTCTCCTACGACAACCACTCCCCTTTCCTTCTTATTTATTCCCCAGGGAGGGAGGGGCCATTTAGCATCCACATGTAGGATGCTACATGAGTAGACTCCTTGTCCTCCATTGTTCTCCTCTCCTAACAGCTGCGCGCTACGCCCATCTGGAACAGGCACCAGCTGTTCTTCCTCCTGACTTACCTCAGCCACCAAAGGCAGTTGCCTCTCCAGTGGCCAGGAAATGTTGGACGGGCATCCAACACTGAGCATCCATCAGAGCCTTCCCCAGACTCCAGAACTGGCCCAGGTTCCTCCCCAACCACCTCATCATCCAAGTCTGGCGGGCCCAACAGAGACTAGACAGTCACTTATCTGAAATCATATAGGTTCTTCTCCTTGAGCCGGGGGCTGGATTAGAAGACCTCCAAGGTCCCTTCTGTTGTGACCCGCCAGCGACCAGCAGAGCGTGCAGCAGATTCAGACAGTGAGGAGGTTGGGGAGGAACATGGACCAGTCCTGGAGTCTGGGGAAGGCTCTGATGAGGGCTCTGTGTCGGAGGCAGAGAGAGGGCCAGAGTCGTATGCCAGTTATCAGCTGCCTTCAGAGTCAGACATCAATGAGGCAGAGGAACATCTGGAGCCTGTTCCCAGTGTGCGCATACGCAGAGTGGCCAGATGAAGGGAGCAGCTAAAGAACTGGGGTCGACTTGGGAGTAAGGCCACAGGTGGACGATGAATGGCCCCTCCCAGAGGAAACAAAAGGGGAGCGAAAGGGGAGTGGAGTTTGCAGGAGACAATCAGTTCACTTCATTGGTTCGTGACTCTCCGAGACTTCTTGCCAAGTTTTGCAGATATCGGTCTGGCAGCTCTCCAAGCCAGATAAGGTCTGTGACCGTAAATCCTCCCTCGAAAGACTTTGCTGGATGTGAATGATCAGAATTCACAGTCAATTAATAAAAGGTTTTTTTTGTCGAGACAAGGCTCTCAGGCAGCCTTGGTTCTAACACCTTCCAGCTTCTATTCTATTCTAAAGTTGTTGTCATTGATTCATCTCCTGCTTACAGCAACTAACAAATTACTTTTATGGGACTTCAGCCGAGAGTAATTTTCTAACTCCTGGGTTCTGTAACGTCATCTTTCTCCTCCAGTTTTTCTTCTCCTGGTCGTGTTATTGTGGGATGGAGACAAGAGGTTCCAGAGCAGACTTTTTGTTTTAATTTTAATCGCCTCTTTTCTTTCCCCCCGTCGAGTCGCAACTTATAAAAATGTCTGCTTTCTTTCCAGTTGCCGGATACATTATAAGGACATGTACAATTTATTCCGAGCTATTGCTCCACCCTTGGGCTTAGGAAAGCAGTGCCCTCCTAGAGTGGCATACAAGGTTTGAAATTTCGGGGTGGGGGGTGGGGAAATCCCAGTCCTTTTTTATTTGGGAGGGGGGAAGGCGGGGAGGAGAGGTTGCCTTGCAACTGAATGGGTGTCTTTTGAACCTGCACTGCAAAAGCAATCAGAAAAATAGAAATATCCTTGGAATGAAACTAACCAGTTTGTGTTCATAGAAATGATGGAAAAGCTTGTTCCCACCCCAATGTGCCTGCTGCATTTTTTCCCCCCTTCTGCCCAATTCTGGATTCTTCCCTGCCTGGATATGGAAGCCTTATGGGATTGTCAGTTTTTTAAAAGGTTTCCTTCTTCTAAACTCAGAATTGGGAGAAGTTTTAGGTTAGCCCGGCCTCGCCCCAGCTCCTAGGCAGATTGAACAGAATGACAGAGCTTTTCGGGACCTTGTAGGTCATCTAGTCCAACCCCCCCTGCCCAAGCAGGAGACCCTACACCATTTCTGATAGACGGCAGTCCAATCTCTTCTTGGAAGCCTCTGGGGATGAAGCTCCCACAACTTCCGAAGGCAACTTCTGTTCCATGGGTTGATTGTTCTTCCTGTCAGAAAATCCTTCCTTATTTCCAGGTTGAATCTCTCCTTGATCAGTTTCCATCCATTCTTCCTTCTCTGGCCTTCATGTGCTTTGGAAAACAGCTTGTCCCCCTTTCTCCTCTCTGTGGCAGCCCCTCAAATACTGGAAGACTGCTATCCTGTCTCCCCTGGTCCTTCTCTTCCCTAGACCAGCCATGCCCAGTTCCTGCAACCGTTCATCGTCTGTTTAAGTCTCCAGTCCCCTGGTCATCTTGGTTGCTCTTCTCTGCACTGATGATTAAAATAAAAATAACCAGCTGTTGGCTAAAAAGTGTGAAGAACAGTTGCAGGAATTGGGTGTGTCTGTCTACTTGGAAGGACTTGGGCCAGTGGTGGGTTTCAAAAAATTTTCGAACCTACTCTGTGGGTGTGGCCTCCTTTGTGGGAGTGGCTTGCCGG